AAATACTCCACGTGATAGCATCGTAACCTCGTACGCTGTCATACAAAAACGTGAATGAAAATTAAAAATGTCGGGACACGCGCGAGCTTGAGCTCCGGGATCAACTGATCTGATCAGATCGAGCTCTCGACAACGATCGGCACGAGCTCGTCGGGTTGAGAGTGGAAACGCGAGAAGCTAAGGACGAATGAGGTTCTGGCAAAGCGATTGACTGATGTAGTAAACTTATGATGGCAATGGCGGACAAAAATATGACCGTTGACTCGAGCGATGCTGGATGTGTCAGGTGTGATGGAGTGCGTGCTGCAGACATTACTGGAGTCCTGATAGCTGGAACATGCACTGATTGGTGGGAACTGAGGATCTGGGCAGGGCCTCGCAGGAAACATCCGAGCCAAATGGTCGTGTAACCGATTGTACAGCATGTCATTAATTATCAATATCCACTGTTGCGCAAAGAGCTTTTATGCTTGCCTCCAACTGGAAAACGAAGAAAATATAACATCATACTGTAAAACCCACATTTGCATCACCATTCATAACACACACCACACAACCACACCAGCACGAAGCAACTCTCTCCGAGCCCTTTCCGAGACCTTCCCCACTTCCACCTTCAAGTAACGCAGCCTAGGGAAGCTTCCAAGAGCCTCTCCTATACCTGATGCTGTAATCTTGTCACACATGACCACCGTCAAGCTAGCGAGTCTTCCCAGTCTGGTTCCCGTCAACACTACATCTGAAAATCTTTTATTTTGCTGCACCTTTAGTTCCTTCAACCTGACACATGCGGCAAGCAGTTGGATCCACTCCTGCTCCTCCAACCCCAAGCAGCGCACCAGGACAAGCCGCTTCAGCTGTCCAAAAACAGCCGCCCGAGCAATGGACTGAAAAGACATTGGCTGAATGCTTGGGCTTGGGCCAGGGGAAGGAGAGAAGAGGCAAGAGGCGGAGGAGGAGATGAACGGCAAGAAGTGGAAGGTGGGAGGGAGGAGAGATACATGAGAGGAGATGCGGTGGGAAGCTTTGTGGGCAGCCACGAGACAAAGGGAGTGGGGGAGAAATAGAGCGCTTGGAGGGTTAAGGACTCCAGGCGAGGGCAGAATACGTGCACAGGGACTGCTGACTGGAACCCCTTAGGATGTTCGCCTGATGCCTTACGGCTGCTTATTTGTCCATCTTTTGGTGCCGCCTCCCCTGCTGCCGCTTCCCCTGCTGTCGCTTCCCCTACAGTTGCCTCTCCTGCAGCAACCTCCCCTGCTGCCACATCCCCTGCTGCCACATCCCCTGCTGCCGCCTCCCCTGCTGCTGCCTCCCCTGCTGCCGCACCCAGCACTGGTTGCGGCAGAGTGGCCGCACCCAAGGAAGAGTTGAGATGGCGCAGGAAATGCAAGCTTTCATGCACGGCTACACGCTGCTCCCTCAGCTCCTCCGTCAGTGGCCTCAGCATGCCCAACACCTCTTCACGTGTCTCCACAGCACCGGACCGCACCCCACCTGGCGCACTCTCAGGCAAGCCATCAACGGCCAGAATGGCATCCATGGCCCTGATATCATCCCCTTCCTCCTCCCCATCCTCTTCTCCAAATCTTAACTTCGTAGAAAAAAGTCCTGCAGCCTGGCCAGCAACAATAGTGGCGTTGGGGTCAGCAGCAGCAGCTGCATTTGAGTTAGCAGCAGCAGCAGCAGCGAATGCCCTCATCAGCCTTTCCTCCCACACAAAAGTTGCCTTCGACTCGCGAACCGCCTGGCAAAACGACCGGCATGCCGAAATCCCAGACCTGATATTTCCGAGGCAGGCAGCAATCCGAGCCACCGTGATCTCTCCCTCTGCACGCGCCGCCCAGCTGGCGTCAGATTGGGCGATCTCAATGGCTTCTTCAGCAGCATCGAAGAAATTGATTGCGCTTTGTGTTGCCGCAAACTTGACTGCCTGAGCCGCCACTGCCTCTGTGCGAAAATCCACGTATCTCCCACTACCCCCTGCTGCTGCCCTGCATGCTATCCGTGACACCGCAGCAGCTGCTGCGGCTGCAGAACCACCCGCATTTCCTTTCTCCCACCCTTCCGTTCCAACCTCCCCTCCTGCCTCCCGTCCTGCCTCCCCTCCTGCCCGTCCCCTCGCAACCCCGATCCGCTCCACCCGCACGAGCATACTCACAAGGCCGTCCAGAGACACATCCTGCGGCAAGTGCTGCCCCGGAGGGTCTATCGCCCCTTCCACACTCAGCGAGCTCAGACCCCTGCAGTCTGCAAGCAAGCCCGGGCGGACGCAGGGTAGGCCGGCGAGGTGGAGGGATCGGAGCTGGGAGGAGCAGCGAGAGAGGAGAGCACGGAGGCCCTGTGCGGAGAACAGACGGTAGGTGGTGCTGTGGAGGGAGAGGGAGGAGAGCGCAGGGTTGGCTCGGAGGATGGGGGCGAGGGAGCGGGAGGAGACGAGTGGGCAGGAGTGGATGGTGAGGTGGGTGAGTGAGTGGAGGGAGCGTGAGAGGGAGTGGAGGGAGCGTGAGAAGGAGTGGAGTTCGTTTGGATCAATGGTGCAGGAGTGGAGGGAGAGGGAGGAGAGGGAAGGAAAGAGGGCGAGGGATGCGAGGGAGCCCTGAAGTTGGGCGGAGTGAATGGTGACGGACGAGAGGGACGTGCGGAGAGAGGATGGGGGGGAGGACGCAACTGAAGAGGCGGATGAGGAGGCAAGGGAGGAGGAGGAGAAGGCAAGAGACGAGAGAGAGGAGGACTCAGGGCTCCAGAGAGTGAGGGAGGTGAGGGAGGAGCAGCGGGTAATGGGGAATAAGTCCGCGGGAACGTAGAGGATAGAGAGGGGCTGCAGTGAGGGGAATAGGTGCAGGGGGGGGAGTGGCGGCTGCCGTGTGTAGGAGCGCTGATAGCGTGAGTTTAGCTCCAGTGAGGTCAAGAGCCTGAAGGAAAGGTAAAGGGGCGGGCGTCGAGGGGTTAAGAGAGAGGTGTGCAGAGGGAGGGCTCAAGAGGGAGGGGTGAGGGAAGAGGATGAGGTGAAGGACAGATGGACGGATGGTCGGACGGACGGACGGACGGACGGACGGACGGACGGACGGACGGACGGACGGACGGATGGACGGACGGATGGATGGATGGATGGATGGATGGATGGACGGACGGACGGACGGAAATGTCTGTGTACGGGCAGTGCTTGGCGAGCTTTCCTTTTTTTAGGTGCCTTCCCACCATGAGCGATGACGACCAAGAGGAACGAAACCGTCAACTTACTTTTGAGAATTCTCAAAAGTGACTCCGCCATAATGTTGAGTCGACTAAAAAAAGACGACCGAGAGGAACGGAATCGTCTACTTACTTTTGATAATTCTCAAAAGTGATTCCGCCATGAGCGACGACGACCAAAAGGAACGGAATCGTCTACTTACGGGCAGTGCTCGCGAGATTTCGCCACGCTCGATCGTTGACGTTGAAACCATTCCAACCCCACATCAATTTCAGTTTTTCCAATTTCGGGCAGCCCGCTGCGATCCCCGCCATCAGCTGATTCCCGAGCCCGTATGAAATCTCCACGGTCAGATCCGTTATGTGGATAAATACCCTTGAATAATCGTTAAACGCTTTCAGCCATTGTCGCAGATTCACAACCCTTCGACGCAAAGAGTAGTACTCGAGGCGGAGCGCGTGCGACGTGTGTCGAGAGAGGCGGAGGAGGCGGGAGCAGGAGAGAGCGACGTTGCGGCGATCGGATGGGTGATCTGCGAGGCCGAGAATGATTTGGAGGAGCTCGTCGGGGAGAGATAGAAGCCTGCTGTTGCCGGCGCGATCGCTTCTTTTCGCCATCGCGAGCTGACCGTTCACAGCTAATTGCCTTTTGAGACCTGAAAACACTCCGCGTGGTAACATCTGTAACCTCAAAACGCGTCTAAGTAACACGTGCAATTTCAGGAAAAATCCAGCTCGAAACACGTGTCACCTCTAACACAGCCATCAGATAATATAAGAAACCCAGGACTCGTCGGAGCGAGAGAGGCAGAACCGAGAGAAGCTCAAGAATCAGGCTGTTGCTGATACACAGCACCGATGCAGGGTGGACAGAACATGACCGTTGAAGGCGATGGAGGTGCACAGCTCATGGGTTTGTTTTCATGGCAGAGCAGACAGAAGATATACAAACGAAGTGATATTACTGGAGAAAGAGGCGGGAAAGCTGGGACATGCTCTGATTGGGTGGAACTGGAGTGCCTGCCATCCGAACCGAACCCAACCGAACCAAGAGGTTTGTGAAACGAAACTGAACAGATCCAATTACCAACGAGGGGTCAGGTCACCGATGTGACTACTTCAGAAAACCACTCACCTGTTACGGTACCCATTCAAAAACTGTTGTCGCCAAATTCCACCTCTCTATGACACACCCCGACCTGACCCCGAGAGCAGATCTGCGGGGATGAGTTGGCGACGGCTACTCTGTCGCAGGGACGGAGCAGACCTGAAACGAACCATCTGGTTGGGGTTGCCGCGTCGCAAATCTGGTGTCAGGAGCAGGCTCCGGGACGGCTTGCAAGGGAAATGAGTCAGCTTTTACAGGGTATGACAATTATGAGTCACGTTCTTTTTCCCGAAAACGCCATGGCTTCCGCTCTGATCCATCAGCAACAGCCAGATTTCTGACACCTCGGGAATGATCTGCCCGAAAAGCTCGTTGCTCCGTCACAGAAACGATGTCTTTTAGGTTGAAGACATGATTGAGTATTTTAGCATTGTCAGTGAAACTGACATCCAGTTGACACAAATGAGCTAGTGTCGCGAAACTTCCGGAATTAGGAACTCTGGAGGCAACAGAAACTATATTGTATGGGATTCTGATATTCAGGAAACAGCTAAACCAGTACCAGCACAAGCCTTTGACATTCCAAACTGAGTCGATAACTAGACAACGTGTCGTCATAGTAGGTGCACTTTGACGACTCTCCGAGAGGTGTCGCCAGTTTTCAGCCCCCTTTGCAAATTTTCATCAGTTCTCAGACATGGATCGGGGAGCTTCTCGATACCAGAGTGATCTGAATCGACCTCTGGCCAACCTCCAAAGCTCCTCCGGCAATCCCTATGGACCGTCCGGCTATTCCCAGGGCTCCTCGGGTTACCTTAACTCGCAGGGATTTGCAGCAGGCTCCGCTGGTCAGCACTACAGCAACGTCGGGAGGGTTGAGGGAGGCGGGCTGGGAGGTGCAAACCCTAGCATGGCTGCACCCGTGTCCCCGTTCCAGAATGCGTACGGCCAGCAGCAGCAGCAGGCACAGCAGGTGCAGCAGCAGCAGCAGCAGCAGGATTCCAATCAGCTGAGGTACCAATACTTGAACCAGCAGCAAATGCAGCAGAACCAGCAGCAGGAGCAGCAACGGCAGTACCAGCAGCAACAGCAGCAGCAGCAGCAGCAGCAGCAGCAGCAGCAGCAGCAGCAGCAGCAGCAGCAGCAGCAGCAGCAGCAGCAGCAGCAGCAGCAGCAGCAGCAGCAGCAGCAGCAGCAGCAGCAGCAGCAGCAGCAGCAGCACCAGCAGCAGCAGCAGCAGCACCAGCAGCAGCAGCAGCAGCACCAGCAGCAGCAGCAGCAGCAGGAGCACCTTCAGCAGCAGCAGCAGCATAAGCTGCAGCAGGTTGGGTCAGGAGCTGTGGCGATGCAGGACGCCAATGCCTTGTGGGAGCGGATCGAGGGGTTAGAGGTAAGGCCGCTCACCTCATTCCTTCCTCCGCAGGCACGGTTGCAGGCTCGGCAAAGAGGACACGGACCGAACATGCTGATCACCAGCACGATAAGAAGTGGTACACTAAGGAGCATTTTGTGGTAACCTTTGTTGCATGGTAACCCGTTTCGCGGATTTCTCTCTTCCTCCCTATATCTGTGCGCTGCCCAGGCGGATCTGCGCAGTGCACGGCTGGAGGCAGCGATGGCGGTGATAAGTGCCCCACTGTAATCCACAGGTGAAATGCTTCATGGTGACCCGATTTCCCCATTCCCCTGTCACTCTCCCTCTCTGTGCTGCCCAGGCGGATCTGCGCAGTGCACGGCTGGAGGCAGCGAAGGCAGTGATTAGTGCCTTACGAGAAATGCTTCATGGTGACCCGATTTCCCCCATTCCCCTGTGGGCCAGGCGGATCTACGGAGTGCACGGCTGGAGGCAGCGAGGGCGAGGGCTGCTCTGGAGGCGCAGGAGCACAGATGCGCTGGGCTGATGGAGGATGTGAGTGCTGCAGCTTAATGTGGTAACATGATGTATATGTATCGTGGTAATGTGGTGATGAGATATGCAGAGTAAGTTGGTTTCGTCTCATCAACTCAACATGCGGCGGCTGGAGTCGGACAGAGCACTGCTAAAGAAGCATAGTAAGACGCGTTTCTCTCAGCCGCACCCATCGTCCCCTCTGCCCCTCTTCCCTCCCTTTCTCTCCCTCTTGTTTCTCCCCTTCTCTCCCCTCCCCCACCTCACAAAAACCTCAGGTGCGTCGGCTGGAATCCGACAGAGCGCTGCTAAAGAAGCAAGTGGATGCGTTTGCTTCTCAGCTGCATCTCACCAACTCGCAGCTGGCTCAGGCGCAGGCAGCTCTGCAGGCAGCAGAGGAGAAGAGCAAGGCGCACTCCAGCCAGGTGCGTGGCTGTTTGCACGTTTCCCACCTGCCTCCAACTGGTCATTACCAGAGGCCACTACAGGAAGCAAAGGCGATCAGGCAGTGCAAGGCACTGTGTGCAACATTTGGCTTCTTCCTTTCTCTGCAATATTGCAGAGACAAGGCATTAATGCAATACTGCAGAGACAAGGCATTAATGCAATACTGCAGAGACAAGGCATTAATGCACTGCACCCCTTCTCCTTACTCTCCTGCCTTCCATCCTTCCCCGATCCTCGTCCGTCTTCCCTTCTCTCTTGCCTTTCCTCCCCCCGCCCGAATCCCCATCCGTCTTCCCTGTGTTGTGTGTCCTTCGCACCATCCCCATCCCCATGTCATCAGTCGGAGGAGCAGACAGCAGCACTGCGCAAGGCAGTGGAGGCAGCAGGCATTGAGAGGGACGCGGCCGTGCTCGCCAAGGTACTGTTTCTTTCCTTCGTTCTTTGTTGTTGTTGTTTATCTCTTGCCCGCTTTTTTTCTTCTTCTTCTTCTTCTTCTTCTTCTTCTTCTTCTTCTTCTTCTTCTTCTTCTTCTTCTTCTTCTTCTTCTTCTTCTTCTTCTTCTTCTTCTTCTTCTTCTTCTTCTTCTTCTTCTTCTTCTTCTTCTTCTTCTTCTTCTTCTTCTTCTTCTTCTTCTTCTTCTTCTTCTTCTTCTTCTTCTTCTTCTTCTTCTTCTTCTTCTTCTTCTTCTTCTTCTTCTTCTTCTTCTTCTTCTTCTTCTTCTTCTTCTTCTTCTTCTTCTTCTTCTTCTTCTTCTTCTCTTCTTCTTCTTCTTCTTCTTCTTCTTCTTCTTCTTCTTCTTCTTCTTCTTCTTCTTCTTCTTCTTCTTCTTCTTCTTCTTCTTCTTCTTCTTCTTCTTCTTCTTCTTCTTCTTCTTCTTCTTCTTCTTCTTCTTCTTCTTCTTCTTCTTCTTCTTCTTCTCTTCTTCTTCTTCTTCTTCTTCTTCTTCTTCTTCTTCTTCTTCTTCTTCTTCTTCTTCTTCTTCTTCTTCTTCTTCTTCTTCTCTTCTTCTTCTTCTTCTTCTTCTTCTTCTTCTTCTTCTTCTTCTTCTTCTTCTTCTTCTTCTTCTTCTTCTTCTTCTTCTTCTTCTTCTTCTTCTTCTTCTTCTTCTTCTTCTTCTTCTTCTTCTTCTTCTTCTTCTTCTTCTTCTTCTTCTTCTTCTTCTTCTTCTTCTTCTTCTTCTTCTTCTTCTTCTTCTTCTTCTTCTTCTTCTCTTCTTCTTCTTCTTCTTCTTCTTCTTCTTCTTCTTCTTCTTCTTCTTCTTCTTCTTCTTCTTCTTCTTCTTCTTCTTCTTCTTCTTCTTCTGTCTTCTTCTTCTTCTTCTTCTTCTTCTTCTTCTTCTTCTTCTTCTTCTTCTTCTTCTTCTTCTTCTTCTTCGGCTTCTTCATTCTTCTTCTTCTTCTTCTTCTTTCTTCTTCTTCTTCTCTTCTTCTTCTTCTATCCTTCTTCTTCTTCTTCTCTTCTTCTTCTTCTTCTCTTCTTCTTCTTCTTCTTCTTCTTCTTCTTCTTCTTCTTCCTTCTTCTTCTTCTTCCTTTCTTCTTCTTCTTCTTCTTCTTCTTCTTCTTCTTTCCTTCTCTTCTTCTTCTTCTTCTTCTTCTTCTTCTTCTTCTTCTTCTTCTTCTTCTTCTTCTTCTTCTTCTTCTTCTTCTTCTTCTTCTTCTTCTTCTTCTTCTTCTTCTTCTTCTTCTTCTTCTTCTTCTTCTTCTTCTTCTTCTTCTTCTTCTTCTTCTTCTTCTTCTTCTTCTTCTTCTTCTTCTTCTTCTTCTTCTTCTTCTTCTTCTTCTTCTTCTTCTTCTTCTTCTTCTTCTTCTTCTTCTTCTTCTTCTTCTTCTTCTTCTTCTTCTTCTTCTTCTTCTTCTTCTTCTTCTTCTTCTTCTTCTTCTTCTTCTTCTTCTTCTTCTTCTTCTTCTTCTTCTTCTTCTTCTTCTTCTTCTTCTTCTTCTTCTTCTTCTTCTTCTTCTTCTTCTTCTTCTTCTTCTTCTTCTTCTTCTTCTTCTTCTTCTTCTTCTTCTTCTTCTTCTTCTTCTTCTTCTTCTTCTTCTTCTTCTTCTTCTTCTTCTTCTTCTTCTTCTTCTTCTTCTTCTTCTTCTTCTTCTTCTTCTTCTTCTTCTTCTTCTTCTTCTTCTTCTTCTTCTTCTTCTTCTTCTTCTTCTTCTTCTTCTTCTTCTTCTTCTTCTTCTTCTTCTTCTTCTTCTTCTTCTTCTTCTTCTTCTTCTTCTTCTTCTTCTTCTTCTTCTTCTTCTTCTTCTTCTTCTTCTTCTTCTTCTTCTTCTTCTTCTTCTTCTTCTTCTTCTTCTTCTTCTTCTTCTTCTTCTTCTTCTTCTTCTTCTTCTTCTTCTTCTTCTTCTTCTTCTTCTTCTTCTTCTTCTTCTTCTTCTTCTTCTTCTTCTTCTTCTTCTTCTTCTTCTTCTTCTTCTTCTTCTTCTTCTTCTTCTTCTTCTTCTTCTTCTTCTTCTTCTTCTTCTTCTTCTTCTTCTTCTTCTTCTTCTTCTTCTTCTTCTTCTTCTTCTTCTTCTTCTTCTTCTTCTTCTTCTTCTTCTTCTTCTTCTTCTTCTTCTTCTTCTTCTTCTTCTTCTTCTTCTTCTTCTTCTTCTTCTTCTTCTTCTTCTTCTTCTTCTTCTTCTTCTTCTTCTTCTTCTTCTTCTTCTTCTTCTTCTTCTTCTCTTCTTCTTCTTCTTCTTCTTCTTCTTCTTCTTCTTCGTTCTTACATTCTTCTTCTTCTTCTTCTCTTCTTCTTCTTCTTCTTCTTCCTTCTTCTTCTTCTTCTTCTTCTATCTTCTTCTTCTTCTTCTTCTTCTTCTTCTTCTTTCTTCTTCTTCTTCTTTCTTCTTCTTCTTCATTCTTCGTTCTTCTTCTTCTTCTTATTCTTCTTCTTCTTCTTCTTCTTCTTTCTTCTTCTTCGTCTTCTTCTTCTTCTTCTTCTTCTTCTTCTCTTCTTCTTCTTCTTCTTCTCTTCTTCTTCTTCTTCTTCTTTCTTCTTTCTTCTTCTTCTTTCTTCTTCTTTCTTCTTCTTCTCTTCTTCTTCTTCTTCTTCTTCTTCTTCTTGCTTCTTCTTCTTCTTCCTTCTTCTTTCTTCTTCTTCTTCTTCTTCTTCTTTCTTCTTCTTCTTCTTCTTCTTCTTCTTCTTCTTCTTCTTTCTTCTTCTTCTTCTTCTTCTTCTTCTTCTTCTTCTTCTTCTTCTTCTTCTTCTTCTTCTTCTTCTTCTTCTTCTTCTTCTTCTTCTTCTTCTTCTTCTTCTTCTTCTTCTTCTTCTTCTTCTTCTTCTTCTTCTTCTTCTTCTTCTTCTTCTTCTTCTTCTTCTTCTTCTTCTTCTTCTTCTTCTTCTTCTTCTTCTTCTTCTTCTTCTTCTTCTTCTTCTTCTTCTTCTTCTTCTTCTTCTTCTTCTTCTTCTTCTTCTTCTTCTTCTTCTTCTTCTTCTTCTTCTTCTTCTTCTTCTTCTTCTTCTTCTTCTTCTTCTTCTTCTTCTTCTTCTTCTTCTTCTTCTTCTTCTTCTTCTTCTTCTTCTTCTTCTTCTTCTTCTTCTTCTTCTTCTTCTTCTTCTTCTTCTTCTTCTTCTTCTTCTTCTTCTTCTTCTTCTTCTTCTTCTTCTTCTTCTTCTTCTTCTTCTTCTTCTTCTTCTTCTTCTTCTTCTTCTTCTTCTTCTTCTTCTTCTTCTTCTTCTTCTTCTTCTTCTTCTTCTTCTTCTTCTTCTTCTTCTTCTTCTTCTTCTTCTTCTTCTTCTTCTTCTTCTTCTTCTTCTTCTTCTTCTTCTTCTTCTTCTTCTTCTTCTTCTTCTTCTTCTTCTTCTTCTTCTTCTTCTTCTTCTTCTTCTTCTTCTTCTTCTTCTTCTTCTTCTTCTTCTTCTTCTTCTTCTTCTTCTTCTTCTTCTTCTTCTTCTTCTTCTTCTTCTTCTTCTTCTTCTTCTTCTTCTTCTTCTTCTTCTTCTTCTTCTTCTTCTTCTTCTTCTTCTTCTTCTTCTTCTCATTTCCTAGTGCAGTGTACGTAGTGCTGCCGTGCTCGAAACAGGTCCATCTCCGGCCTACTCCCTCCAAGCTCCTACAGGAAGTAGATAGACTTGGTGTGGCATGTTATGCAGGAGGCAATTGGGTAAGCGTCTGGGGACACTTGCTTCTCTTGGTGCCTCCTTCTGTTCCCTATGGTCTCCATCTCATCTCTTCTCCCTCTTACCCCCCACCGCCCCTTCTTTTTGGAGCAGGAGGACCTGGCATCCCAGGTGCGGGTGCTGAAGAGACGACTGCAGGAGGCAGAGGAGGAGCAATGCAAGGTAACTAGAGCGAGCTCACTAGGAGCGCCTCTGTGCAAGGTAACAGCGGGCATTGGCAATGGGGAGCAGTAGAGAGCTGGTTAGTAGCATGGATGGTCTGTCTGTCGCATGCTGTCCATCATTGATACTGAGGGGTTTGTACGCATTTAACAGCAGCTCTGCTGCTGTACCTCGTGCTAGCAGGAGAGCTGAGAACGCTGCAGCATTTAACAGAGGCCACAGTGGATCGGGCAGGTGTGGCGTGTGCCCACTCCCTTTCTTTCTTCCCTTCCCTCTGTCCATTTCCCACCATTTGCAGGCAGAAGAGGCATCGGCAGCATTAGCAGCAGAGCTGAGGGCGCTGCAGCACTCAACAGAGGCCACAGTGGTTACATAGAGCAGGCATGCACGGTTTTTGCAAGCTCTCCATTTCTCCGTTTCTTTTCATCACATCTCACCCTTTACAGGCAGAAGAGGCATCGGCGGCGCTAGCAGCAGAGCTGAGGGCGCTGCAGCACTCAACAGAGGCCACAGTGGATCGGGCAGGTGCGGCATTTGCTCCCGACCCTGACCAGCTCAGGGTTGCCGAAGCTGCCAGAGATGCCGCCAAGGCTGAGCTGCAGGTACAGAACAGGTGGGGGAGAGGCATGGTGTGAGTGGGTGTGGACTTGAATGTGGGTGTACGCTAGATGAGTGTGTCTTGAATGGTTTTGAGTGGTCTTGAAAGGTATTGAGTGGTTGTGCGTGGTCTGGAATGGTTCTGAGTGGTCTTGAATGGTCTTGAATGGTCTTGCATGGTCTTTCATGTCCCTCTTTCCCCTTTCCTTGAACAACTCAAGGCCTTGTGACTGGCAGCAGCTGACAGGCATGCAGCAGCAGTTGACAGGCATTTGGTTCTCAAGCAGAGGCAGAGCCACAGAGAATGGTCGGATCAGATGCAATCATGTATGCATGCCTATATATCCTTCTCACCCTACACTCTCTCCTCCGCCATCCCACCACAGGATCTGCGGCAGGAGCTGACGGGCATGCGGCAGCAGCTGATAGCAGAGAGGCAGCGGGCGGCTCAAGTATTCCAAGTATTTCCTCGTGGGGATGTCCTCTTCTCCCCGTTTGATGCACATACATCTATGCTCATGTCACGTGCCTATTCCCCTCAACCCCAACAACCACCACAGGACCTGCGCCAGGAGCTGACAGGCATGCGGCAGCAGCTGATAGCGGAGAGGCAGAGGGCGGCAGCAGTGGCTGGAGGGAAGGAGTCGGTTGAGAAGCAACTGGCAACCGTGCAGGCGAGTCTTAAGGTGGGTTGATCAAGGTTTTTGTGTGTGTGTGTGTGTGTGTGTGTGTGTGTGTGTGTGTGTGTGTGTGTGCGCGTGTCTGCGTGCGTGCGTGTGTGTGTGCGTGTCTGCGTGCGTGCGTGCGTGCGTGCGTGCGTGTGTGTGTGTGTGTGTGTGTGTGTGTGTGTGTGTGTGTGCGTGTCTGCGTGCGTGCGTGCGTGCGTGCGTGTCTGCGTGCGTGTCTGCGTGTGTGCGTGCGTGCGTGCGTGCGTGCGTGTGTGTGTGTGTGTGTGTGTGTGTGTGTGTGTTTTCAGTTCGATTTTTCTTTGGTAATCCCCTCATTTTCTATATTTGTGCCATCTTCAGGAGGCATTGGAAGCAGAGGAGAGGCTCAAGATCAATGCAAAGGCAGAAGTTCGACAAGAGGTGGAACGGGACCTCAGGTCCGACATCGAGGCGGAAGTTCGGCAGAAGCTGGATGCGGAGGTCCGGGAAGCGGCTGAGGCTGAGGCTCGGAAGGAGATGGAATCCGAGGTTCGGCAGGACGTGGAGGGGAAGGTTCGGAAGGATCTTGAAGTGGAGGTTCGGGAGAAGTTGAAGGCAGAGGTTCGGGAGGAGCTAGGAAGGGAAGCTGGGAGAAGTGCTGAGGAGGACTCAAAGGCCAACCGTCAAGGATTGGTGGATGTGGGAACTCAAGCGTCGTCTGTGAGCGAGGAGGCTCGGAAAGAGATCGAGGCAGCCGCTGTGGCTCGGACGCGGCAGGAAGTGAAGGAAGAGGTTCGAAAGGAGCTTCGGAACGAGGTTGAGAAGCAGGTCCGGGAAGAGGTGACTGAGAAGGTTCGGAATGAGGTGCGGAAGGAGGTAGAATCGGAGTTGAAAAAGTCTAAGGCCGATCCTGAGGGTGCTTCGACAGCTGCTGCAAATGGTGGTGGTGGTGGTGGAACTGCGGTTGAGAGTGGTGCAGAGGGTGAAGGGGACAATGAGAGAGCGGAGGTGGAGGGTAAAGGTGAAGGAGTAGGTGAAGTTGTGGCAAGTGGAGGAGAAAGAGAAGGAGCAGGAGCAAGGGCAGGAGAAGGGTCGGCAGCAGGGGCGGCAGCAGGGGCGGCAGCAGGGGCGGCAGCAGGGGCAGGAGAAGGTGCGGGAGAAGGGGCGGGTGCAGGGGGAGGAGAGGCAAGTGAAAAGGGTGGGGCAGCCTTTTGAAGAGCATGCACCATTGAAGGTCATTTGCCTTTCTTTCTTCCCCGTTCTAATGGCTGCCTGGTTCTTATTATGCTCGCACGCATGCAATGAGACGAGTTCGTCTGACTTTTCTGGACTCTCAAGAGTATTGCTTGGGCGCATCGCATCCAGCGCTTGTCTGCTGCGCTCGCAGGTCATAGAAAAAGCTCTGCATGCGTCGTGAAACTTCTGGATCTAGAGAAATCTCTGCGTCTTACCTTTGGAGGGGGGGGGGAGAGAGCAGAGGTGGAGCAGAGGGGCTCTAATGCTCAAGGTTCTGCTTCTGCCTTTTGCTTCTGCTTCTGCTGCGCCCATGGTCATGACAGGAGGAGGCACAGAAAGCAGAAGTAGAGCGGGGTCAACTGCAGCAGCAGTTGGAGAAGCTACAGGTGTCTCTGGCTAAGAAGGAGAAAGCGCGGCTGAGACTCCTGTCTGAGGTGAGTGCTCCTCTAACCCACCGCTTTTGAGTCGACTCAAAAGCAGACCCACCAAGGTGCCTTGTGAGGTGAGTCTGATACTGAGATTGCTGCAGCAGCAGTTGGAGAAGTTGCAGGCGTCTCTGGCTAGGAAGGAGAAAGCACGACCGAGGTGAGCGTTGCAATAACTCAGTGCTTTGGGTAGGTGTTGTTGTGAAAGGTGGAAGCAAGCAAGCATTCATTTGTCAATCCTCAATGTCATTCTCTTTCCCCAGTCGCTGCGAGAGCAACACTTCCGAGTCCCATTCCAGTTCTCCCACTTATTGTCTCATTACCATGATGACACTATCCATGCTTGTGTTTTCTGCCATGCATGTGTTACACCCATAACGTCAAAATTCCTTAGTACAGCATCGCTTCTTCTAGTCTCGCTCCATACCATTCCATGCTTCCTCAATTGTACGGTCCTACCCATGTGTGAAGAGGCGATTTTTGAGTTTTGAGTCGACTCAAAAATGTCCTCACTTGTACTGTCCTAACCCTCCCATACCATTCCATGCTTCCTCACTTGTACGGTCCTAACCATCCCATACCATGACACCATCCGTGCTGCTTTCTCCTGCCATCCACCCATCAGGTGGATTCCCAGTCGCTCCAGATAGAGCGCCTTGTCTCGATCAAATCAACTCATCCATAACCAGAAATCTCCTGCCATCCATGCACATGCACACCCATCAGGTGGATTCCCAGTCGCTCCAGATAGAGAGACTATTTGCGGAGAACTCAGGGCTGGCAGCGGGGCTCAAGGAGGTCTCTGCCATTGCCGCCCGCTGGGAGGCTCAGGTGAATGCAACAGAGGCTCAGGTGGGAACAACAGAGGCTCAGTTGAGTGCAGCAAAGATTCAGGTGAGAGTGCCGCGAAGCTTAGGTGGTGAGTGCAACACAGGCTCACCAATAATTGTTTGGATGCCTTTCTTTTCCAGGCTCCATTCTCCCTTTCTTCCCTACCCACCTGGTCCATTCTTGTCTGGATGCCTTTCTTTTCCAGGCTCCATTCTCCCTTTCTTCCCTACCCACCTGGTCCATTTAGCCTGGGGCGTACCTCGTCCTCCTCCTTCCCAATTGCGTATCTCTTCAGGTTCGCACCTGGCAGCAGCTGCAGAGCGAGCAGCAGCAGCAGATGGACAGCAGCAAAGGGGCAGCAACAGCAGGAGGGGCATCAACAGCAGCAGGCACAGGAGCACGAGCAGGAGCAGCCTTTTCAGCAGAAAAGCCAGGAGGAACAGGAGAGGTATCAGGAGGAGAGAAAGGAGGGGCGGGAGGAGGAGCAGCAGCAGCAGCAGGGGCGATGGGTCCAGGGCTAGCAGATACGGACACAGAGGCAGACACAGACGATCCAGAGCTGCCAGTCTCCACCTCCCCCAGACAGCACCTGGAGCTGCCACCAGTAAACACCTCCCCCAGGCAACTTCTGGAAGTGCCTCCGTTTTCTGGTGCTGGGACCTCAGCAAGTGGGGAAGAGAATGGGGAGGTGGTGGTGGGTCTGCAGGGGGATGGCGTGAAGATGGAAGGGTCAGGAGCGGTGGAAGGTGGTGGAGAGGAAAGGGCAGGGAATGAGGATGGGGAGAAGGAGGAGGTCGGGGATGGGGCTAGAGGTGGGGAGGATGGGGGAGTGGGGCAGAGGAGGGGAGCGAGTGTGGATATGATTGGCGGGAAATCCATGGAAGTTCTGGAGGAAGAGAACAGGAAGCTCAAGGTGAGACAAGGAAAAGTTCAAATAAGTTTTTGGAGAAGTGTTTGGTTAATGAACTAAGTGCCGCTCAATGGAGGTGCTGGTGGAAGAGAATAAGAAGAGGAACAAATCTTAGCTAAGTGCCTCTGAAATGAACGAATGCACGGGGAGTTGTGGACATGCTAATGGAATGGAAGAGAACAAGAAGTTGAAGGCCATCAGGAGTGAGAGTAGAGAGGGGCGATTCAACTGTGAGAAAGTGGTGGCACCATCTTGTTCTCTTACCACTGTGTTTTCCGTGCCTTCGTTCCTCCCAAGCACCCTCCTTTCCCTCCATCCATTGCTATCTTTCACCACCCTCGCCACCACCTGTCTCTGACCCTGTCTACCCCACTCTGCCCCTCTCTACCCCACTCTTTCCCCCTCTTCTCCTCTCTTCCCCTCTCTACCCCACTCTTTCCCCCTCTTCTCCTCTCTTCCCCTCTCTGCCCCACTCTGGCCCTCTCTGCCCCTCTCTACCGCTCTCTGCTCTCCTTCCTTCCCCACTACAGGACGATCTCACTGCCGCCCAGAACCGCATCCGCCAGCTGTCAGTGCAGGCGCTGCGCTCCGATGCCAGCTGCACCACGGCCGTCCAGAGGCTGGCTCAAACCAAGCGGATGTGAGTAGTGTGCTGCTTTGGTGGTGATAGTGGTGATAGGAGACTGGGTCCAGAGGTACTGCGCTCGCATGCCAGCTGCACCACGGCCGTCCAGAGGCTATCGCAGACCAAGCGGATGTGAGTAGTGCCGCGTTGCTGATGGTGCAAGTGGTGGTAGTAGGTAGGTGGGCCCACAAGGCGCTGCGCCGTGCTGCGATGCCAGCTGCACAACTGCCGTCCAGAGGCTTTCCCAGACCAAGCGCGCTCCCCTCAGCGTTTTTGAGAATTCCCAAGAGTCAACTCAAAAAGCGCGGTCCCTTTAGCGTTTTTAGAACTCCGAAGAGTCGACTCAAAAAGCGAGCTCCCCTTAGCGTTGGTCCAGTAGCAGCTTGACCACCACCGCTGTTCAGAGGCTCTCTCGCTCAGACAAGGCGGCTGTGAGCAGCGTGCTGCTGCTGACCTGCTGGTTTCTCTCCCCTTGCCACTGCATTGCCATCCAACGGTTTTTCCCCTGCGCTCAACTCAAAGCACCATCCTCACTTGATCACCCCACATCTGTCCCTTGCTTCCTGCCCTGCCTTTCTTTCGACTCTCCTCCATCCATCAAGTTATGGGGTTTTTTGTTTTTTCACTTTCTCTCTTTCTCTCTGGGAAAGGAAAGGTGGACTTATTCTGACGCATGTCCTCACTTGTGTACTTGTGATTGTGAGTGCTTTTTCAGGTATGGCCCTCTGTTGAGCAGCATCGAGCAGAAGCTCCTCCAGTACAAGCAGGAAGCGTCCCTGCAAGGTCATATGTGAATGTGACTGCATTGTCTGATTATGCTCAGTAGATACGTACTTGTATGTTTCACATTGCACAACAATACTATACAAGTATAATCTGCACTCCTCCCAAACTCTTGGCTATTTATACTCTTTCAACACTGACGTTTTTTCAAATGCTACAGTTCCTCCCACTCCATGCCAAGCCATGCCGCCCCACTCCCACCCTGTCCACCAATGGTAGCTGCTGAAACCAATCCACGTCAGCCAAGACCTGACATGTCATGCACCAACCACAGCAAGTTTTTGGTCATTTGGCAGTCGACCAAACCCTATGAAACAATGTAAGCACCTTTTCGATTCCTCCTAATCCCCCACACCAGTTAATCACATGAGCAGGGAAGAGGTGAAGAAGAAAAGAGAGTGGTGTGGTGGGAGAAGTTGAATCGGGAGAAAGAGATGCTCACAGCTTACCTCTTTCTCACCTGCAGCAGGAAAGCAGTGAGCAAGTGGCTTCAGTATAATGTCAACCCACCTGCTGTAGCACTCGCATCTTTTCCTCCAGTCCAAAACAGCAGTTGGCATGAACAGTGACCAGCCGCCCCAGCCGCTGCCCGATCTCGCAGAAACCGCCAAAGAGGTCAGTCGGCAGGTAGTGGACAGAGAGACGGAGGGTGTCGCGGGTGTGTGGGTCTGCTTCAGGTCGCACTCGCATGAATGCATCCTGGTCGTGAATTCCGGGGAAGCTGATGAGGGGTGGAATGGGGAAGTGGGGAAGTGGTGAAAGGGGGATGGGGGGAAGCGTATAATGCATGGAGAGATGGGAGAGTATTGCGGGTGTACGAGTCTGCTTCAGGTCGCGCTTTCATGAATGCATCCTGGTCGTGAATGCCAGGGAAGCTGATGAGGAGGGGAGAAGGGGGAGGAATGGAGGATAGCGTATGCAGGGTTGAAGTTCGCTTCAAAATTGTGGGTCTGCTTCGGGCTGCGCCGCACCCACATGAACGTGTTCCTGGTCATGAACGTGTTCCTGGTCATGAACGTGTTCCTGGTCATGAACGTGTTCCTGGTCATGAATGAATCCCAGGGAAGGTTTGTTTTGAGGCGCCTCAAAACTCGCTTCAAGCCGCACCTGCATGAACGCGTCATGCAGGTCATGAATCCCGGGGAAGGTGGAGGAAGGCTTACCGGGTGTGTGCATTGAGCCAGTAGTCGAAGAATCACAGCACACAGGTGTTGCTGTGGGCCATGTACAACCCAACATTGGCTGCTGCTGCCTTGGGTTCTGGAAGGGCAGAAGGTGGAATTTACCAGGTGCGAGAAAGAGTGGAAGGAGGAGGGGCTTACCGGGTGTGTGCATTGAGCCAGTAGTCGAAGAATCGCAGCACACGGTCGTTGCTGCGAGCCATGTAGAATCCGCCATTGGCTGCTGCCTCCTTGGGGTCTTCTGACCAGCGATCGCATGCTATGAGCATGTCTGATGGGATGGGGAGCATGTGGGGAAGGGGGTTCTGGTGGAGAGGAGGGAAGGAAGACGGAAGAGAGATAGTCAAAGGGTGACAGCTGAGATAAGAGATTGCTTCCTTGGGGTGAGCTGACCAGCGATCGCACGTTATTAACATGTCGGATGAAACTGAGAGCATGTGGGGGAGGGGGTTCTGATGGAGGGGAGGGGAGGAAGGGAGGAAGCAGGCAAAAAGGGGTCGGTCGATAAGTGGTCACAGGCTGCTGCTACAATCAACCGTGCACCATTCTCTTTCCATCTAAGAATCAATTCAGTGATATGTCAAGGAGCATCTAAGGATAAATTCAACGGCACAAGACGTTGTTACATACGTTCACACCTGCAACCCACATGACGTCACTGCCACCCACCTGCAGCCACATGACGTCATTGTCTGTGAAGATTGCATCAAATCTTAAAGACAGGATTTGTCTGATGACATGCAGCCGCCTCCACATCTGGGCAGAGTGAGAAGAAGAGATGAGGAGAGATGGGGGGCGATGGGGATGGATGGGGAGAGATGAACAGAGAAATTACAGGAACAGTGGGGAGTGGCAGAGATGTGATGGAAATTCAAGAGGGCGAGGCAATAACAGGGATAAGCATCATGTGTACGACCATAAGCATCATGTGTACGACCATATGCATCATGTGTACGACCATAAGCATCATGTGTACGACCATAAGCATCATGTGTACGACCATAAGCATCATGTGTACGACCATAAGCATCATGTGTACGACCATAAGCATCATGTGTACGACCATAAGCATCATGTGTACGACCATAAGCATCATGTGTACGACCATAAGCATCATGTGTACGACCATAAGCATCATGTGTACGACCATAAGCATCATGTGTACGACCATAAGCATCATGTGTACGACCATAAGCATCATGTGTACGACCATAAGCATCATGTGTACGACCATAAGCATCATGTGTACGACCATATGCATCATGTGTACGACCATAAGCATCATGTGTACGACCATAAGCATCATGTGTACGACCATATGCATCATGTGTACGACCATATGCATCATGTGTACGACCATATGCATCATGTGTACGACCATATGCATCATGTGTACGACCATATGCATCATGTGTACGACCATATGCATCATGTGTACGACCATATGCATCATGTGTACGACCATATGCATCATGTGTACGACCATATGCATCATGTGTACGACCATATGCATCATGTGTACGACCATATGCATCATGTGTACGACCATATGCATCATGTGTACGACCATATGCACCTTGTAGCATACTGCCCGCCCAGGAAAGGAACAGTACCAGGTGCAGATACGAGGGGGTCATGAATTTCTTCTGCCCGCCACTGAAGTCGTCCCTCTCACTCTTCCGAGCATCATCCTGCCCAAAAAAAAAAGAGTTAGGGAAACAAAGACAAAGAATCCATTCCAGGTGCGCATACAAGTGCAGGTAGGGTGGGATGGATTGAAAACAGGAAGATTCCTTGAACTGACACCTTGTGAAGTGAGAGGTGGAGTCAATATTTAGAGATACTGCAGTGCTCCCTTCTTCCCTCCCTACCCCTGACGCCTAAACTGCTGCTGGTCCAATTGCCCTCAGCCAGATTCACCTGAGTGTCGAGGAAGCAGTGCAGGCGGAGCAAGCAGCAGAAGGCGAGGCTATGGTGGTCGTAGCAGATCACGAGCAGGCGAGACACCAGCGTGCCCCGCATTTCAGGCCGGTGCTCCGTGCCTGGGTCATCCGCATCTGACTGTGCAGATTCACCTGCTGCAGCTCGTAAGTACCCCTCTTCCTGCTGCTGCTGCTCTTGTTGCTGCTGGCTGTGCTTGTCTCGCTCTTCCCTGTCATCAACCAGTCTTATCCTCGTTAAGAACATCTTCATCATGGGTATCCACGCCTCTGACAAAACCGTCACTATCACCACGCCACGCCCTAACTCCCCTTCCTCTGCCACCTCAGCCGTCACTTTTGCCGCCTCCGTCTCGTTTCTTTCAACCAGCCTTCCATGTTTTCCAGCGTTGCTGCTGCCAGAAGTGCTGCTGCCTTTGCTGCTGTTTGTGCTGACACTGGTTGCGTCAGCAGCGGCTTCTGCAGCGCGTGGACCCTGTGCTGCCACGTCAGATGCTCGTGGCATGCGTGTCACTAGAGGAGGCATTCTTGCTGACGTGGCCAGGTCGGTAAGAACGTCCTCTAGGCTCCTGCCACGTTTCAGTCAATCCGATCAAACGGTTTGACCACAAAAAGAGGAGGCAAAGCAAGACAAGCGAGGTAGTGTGTGGAAAAGGGAGGGAGAAGGAGAGGGGGTAAGGTCAGAGAGGCGGTAAGAGAGCGGGCAGGACGGGGGATGGGGGGGTGATCTGTCTGCGCACCTTGTTTCAGAACACGAAAATTGATCTGAAAACACTGCCCCAGGCCCCTCAAAAGTTGGCAGTGTAGCAGCAGCAGGTTGGGGGAGTGGAGAGGGGGGCGCGAGGAGAGGGATGGCGAGGAGAGGGAGGAGGATGAGCAGCGAGAGGAGGAGCAGGAGGGTGTTGCTGAAGAGAGTGGGGGTTATTCGTAGGCGGGGTAGGATGTGGTTAGAGGAATGAGGGGGATGAGAAAGACGGGAGGGAGCGGAAGGATGAGAAGGATGAGATTCGATCCGGGTTACAGGCAGGTGCTCGCTGTTCAAGGGAGCGGGAAAGCAAGTGCTCAGGCGGTCCCAAAAGGCAGGAAGGAACGGGGGGGAGAAGGGTGGCGAGGAGGAGGATGAGGAGGAAGAAGATGCGGAAGGAGAGGCAGCGGGGGATCCAGATGCTGGGGAAGGAACCATGAGGGGACGAGCAGCGATGTCAGGTGCCTTTATTGTACAAGAGCCGTCGGAATCGCCGTTGTTGGCATCTAGTGCGCTGTTGTTGCCACCATAAGAGTCGTGGTTGGAAGCCTTGATTGACGGGACGGCAACCGGAACGCCATCATGGTTTGGGTCGTCGTCACTTGATGACGGAAGCGGCATCGCGAGATCCGATCTCAAGACTTCACGGTTTTTTTTTTTTTTTTTTTTTTTACATCCGCAGCTACCCTAGTAGCTATTGGATTTTTTATTTTTATTTTACATCCGCAGCTACCCAAGTAGTAGCTATTGGAAAATCCTCAAATGCGTAGCCACCGATTCTTACATCCGCAGTAACTCTCACAGGCGAAATGACCCTCCCAAGCTGGGCGATGCTTCAAAACGCTCTTCCCGCATGTAAGACCGAGAGAGAGTGAATATCGAATGGACTCGAAAGTTCATTCAACACGGAATACCGCATGGTAGCTGTCTCATACGGACGGGACCCAGCGGGACGGACCTCTGTCTTGAGTCGTGACGACCAGTTTTTGCTCTGCGGGTTGGCGAGGCGGCCACGGCAGCGACGCGGTGCACATGCGCCGCGGCGACAAACCGCAACCGCACCGCATCTTTTGAGTCGAGCTCACCTCACAACCGCATCGCATCATGATGCGGTGATGGTACTAGTGATAACATGGTTGAACCAACTCAAGGTTGTCTTGGTAGTGCCATTAGCCGTCGACGAGGTAAAAAGTTGTTTCGCGCGACCTTGGACGACGGGGTCCCCCGACGGCGACAGTGGTAGAGGTACGACATCTGTGCTGCGTCTGACAGAGTTTTGAGACGTCTCAGAACTCGCCTGACTAACGAGGGTCGGAGACTAACGAGTGCTTTACGAGATGGTCTTGCATTTCCGCCATGTGGCAACTAATGTGCGGTGCAGTGGTGTGTGTGCTACCTGCTGGAGGTTTGGCGGGAACTGGACTTATCTGGCTTTGGCTGGAACTTGAATTGTGTTATTTGACTTGGGCAGTTTGGGGTCTTGGGATTGGTGATTCTGTCAGGATTGTTGAGATTGCATTCCTGTTATGGGAAACGCGATATTTCTATCAGGTGCGATTTGCACATGAAGAACCCGCTAGCGTGAGAGCTCACTAGAAGTTATCGATTTGAATGGAAACAGCTAGAATGGAGGCTCTAGAATATGTCAAAAGCAAGGGCTCGTGTGTCAGCCCATTCCGCCGCCACACCAGTGCATCCCAATTTAGTCCCCTCTTACGATCACGTGCGCTTCCAAACTAGTACTTGGTATATCGCACACGACGATTTTCGAGTAAGATTCATTAGACACCCAGATTCCAGTTAACAATATAAACAGCCACACTCTCTATTTATGAGATAAGACACATTTGTCTGCTATCAGGGCGATGTCGGTAAGGGGCAAGGGGTGTGTATGAAATTGCAGAAAGAAGCTGTGCTACATACTTACAAACAGTTTCTCCTTCACAAAACACATCACAAAAGCGGTTCAGAGAGAATTTACGGCAATTTAGTGACCAGCTAATCTACCAACCTGCCCTTCATCAAAGAGCAGTTCCTCCCTGTCCATTCATTTCCACGCTGCCCCACTCCCTCCCTGTCCACCAATGGTAGCTGCCGAAACCAATCCACATCACCCAGGACCTGCGATGCCATGCCATGCCACGCCATGGCATTCCATTCCATGACATGCAATGCCATCCACACAGAAAAATTGTTACGGTATTCAAATGGTGGGCACATAGGTTACAAAAACATTTTGCCATGCCATGCCATTAACACTCAGCAGAAGAAAGTTTATGGAAACGCTGACCTACCGTAAACCCACAGTCGGTATGTTGACGGGTGTATTTTGAGGCGCCTCAAAATACACCTCAAGAAATTTCATGGAATCGGTGACCTAAACCCACAGTCGGTATGTTGACAGGGGATGTGACCTAAACCCACAGTCGGTATGTTGAAAGGGGATGGGGAGAAAGAAGGAAGAGAAGGGAGTGGGGAGGAAGCAATTACAGGAATAACATGAAGACAGTGTGAGGGAAATAGAATACTCACCTGCTGGAGCACTTGCATCTTTTCCTCCAGTCCAATACAGCAGTTGGAATGAACAGTGACCAGCCGCCCCAAATGCCGCCCGATCTCGCAGAATCCGCCAAAACGATTTGTCGGCAGGTAGCGGATGGAGAGATGGAGAGTGTCGCGGGTGTATGGGTCTGCCTCGGGTCGCACTTTCATGAATGCATCCTGCTCTTTAATACCAGGGAAGCTGTTTTTCGAGGCAGGGAAGGGGGGGGAAGAGACTTTTGAGTCGACTCAGAACCTCAATGAATGCATCCTGGTCCTTGATACCAGGGAAGCTGCATTTGGGGCGGGGAGGGGGTTGGATGTGAAAGTTGTAAAGTGAACCATTAGTTTAATTAGAGGAAGAACAAACATACATAGGTTGGATGAGAAGCTTGGGGAAGAAAGGTTGGGTTGACCACACTTTGTGGGAAGTGAGGCAATCTCAGGCCCACTTGGGTTGGGTTGGCCTCACTTTGGGAAGTGAGGCAATCTCAGGCCCACTTGGGTTGGGTTGGCCTCACTTTGGGAAGTGAGGCAATCTCAGGCCCACTTGGGTTGGGTTGGAGTGAGGCATCCTGAGGCCAAGTGGGTTGCATTTGGGGGCTCCACCACAATTGGGTTGGATTGGCACCCCACAATGCAGGACTACACCCAAAGTTGGTATATAGTTGGTGTACAGTTGGTGTACACCCAAAGACTACTCGCACTTTACACCACAATTGGTGTACAGTCACAAGTGTTGGCATGCTATAACATACAATTCTAACATTGGAGATAGGGGAGAATGGAACAGTATGATGGGTGGAGAGAGATGGAGAGTGGTGCAGGTGTATGGGTCAGCCTCGGGTCAAGGCACACTTCCATGAATGCATCCTGGTCCTTCATACCAGGGAGGCTGATTTTTGAGAGGGGGGAGGGGGGGGGGGGAGAGGAGAGGGGTGGAGGAGGGAGGTGGAGAGGCTTGAAAAGGATGATGCCTGGTAACATGGAGACCTGTGGTATATTATAGCGCATTAGTAGTCGGCTTCAGACTTGAATGGATGCAGCTTATTTGTAAAATCCCACAGGGCTGGAAAAAGGGAGGGTGGTTGGTGGGAGGTTGGGGTGAGGGATGTGCAAAAAGGTGTAGATGCATGACGAGGTGTGCGGGGGGGTGACGAGGTATGCGGGGGAATGACGAGGTGTGCGGGAGCCATAAAGAGGGTATGGGGAGGAAAGACGACATGGGTGGGCGGGGATAGCTGTCTGATAGGTGTCGTATTGTAGTCTGGTTATCCTCCGTGTATCCTGCATATAGTGAGAGTGTTTCCGCACCTCAACGAGATGGAGTATAAACAAGATCCTAAGGAAAAAAACAGGAAAAAAAAAAAAAAAAAAAAACCAAATAGATGAAAAAGTTTTTCTTTGTGTACAAGAATAACTTCTTTTATGCCTAGGACCCCAATAAAGGAAGGATAGCGTAGTGCCGCTACTACAAGCACAAATTTGCCACCAACCAAATTCGCTGCACGACTCATCTTGCAAATTGGGAGAAAACAACCCCATCGGCCAATCTTGATTGATATGTCCTAAAGCCCCGAAGGATGTAGAGGATGGCTTTGGCAACATGGGGGAAAACAATGTGCAGTGCGAGCAGAAAGAAAAAGCAGATGACGCGGTCGTGCAGTGAGCGGTGTAGTGAGCGGTGCAGTGAGCGGTGCAGTGAGCGGTGCAGTGAGTGACTCGATGGGGAAGAAGAGGGATCGCATGTTGAAAGAGAACGGAGGGAGTGATGCGAAGAGCGCGACGGACGAGGCCGTATGCCTCTACCGTGGGGTGTGAAAGAGTGGGAGCTCGAGGAGAGGCTTACTGGGTGTGGGAAAAGAAGAGGGGAAGAGGCTCAACGGGTGTGGGAAAAGAAGAGGGGAAGAGAGGCTTACCGGGTGTGGGAAAAGAAGAGGGGAAGAGAGGCTTACCGGGTGTGGGAAAAGAAGAGGGCAAGAGAGGCTTACCGGGTGTGGGAAAAGAAGAGGGGAAGAGAGGCTTACCGGGTGTGGGAAAAGAAGAGGGGAAGAGAGGCTTACCAGGTGTGGGAAAAGAAGAGGGGAAGAGAGGCTTACCGGGTATGGGAAAAGAAGAGGGGAAGAGAGGCTTACCGGGTGTGGGAAAAGAAGAGGGGAAGAGAGGCTTACCGGGTATGGGAAAAGAAGAGGGGAAGAGAGGCTTACCGGGTGTGGGAAAAGAAGAGGGGAAGAGAGGCTTACCGGGTGTGGGAAAAGAAGAGAGGAAGAGAGGCTTACCGGG